GGCGGCTTAGGGAGTGAAATTTTTTTGTACGAGAAGGAAGAAGACGATGCCTTTGTGCTAACAAGAAGAAAAGGAAAAATTATATAAAGTTTGCAAAATGAGGTTTAGAACTGAGTTTCATTTCATAGCTACAAGGAACTGTAGCACATATAGTGAAAAAACGCCCCGCACATCTAAAAATTTTCTAATTACTAATATTATTGTTAATACTAAAACACCAGGCTTTAGAGAGAAGCATTCAGACATTTCATCCTCATTATTCCCTCACTTATTTCGACCCCAGTGCTTACTCTCCAAAACAGTATCTGATTCAACAGTTGAGGAGAATGTGGGTGCATTTGACTTTTTTGGCCTCTATTTTCATTTTCATTTTTTTGTCTGCATCTTTTCCGTCCCCCTTATACATAGAAAGGAGAGAATTTTAGAAATTCAAACGTTAAGTAGCACTCTCATACTTTTCGATGATCTCGTGAGATGGCCAAACGCGCACCATTCCATCCTCTGCGCCGGTTGCATATGAATTCCCATCTGGGGCCCAGCGTATATGAAAGATTGGGCCGTGGTGTCCACGATTAGATTCTAACTCTGTTCCATCAATAGTAAACTCTTTTGCCTTCAATTTAGACCCTGCCGCTACATTTTGCCCATTAGGTGAAAGTGAGGCACACTCCACACCTTCGCTAGTGGTGAAACTATTCTTGATTTCCAGGGAGGTGGTATCAATAAAGCTGATACTCTTCTCATGGGCAGCAACTATGGAGTGGCGATGGGTATACTCCAGGAAGTTTAGGCGAGGAATCTCAAGGCGTAAGTACGGAGCTGAGACATCACGTAAATCCCATTTTAGAATAGTGTTTTCACACGACGTCACCATGGTGTTGGGATCGATGAAATAAGTAGCTTTGACATTAGTAGCATCCGGCTCTCCAAAAGAAACCGGCTCCGCATCGTACTTGTTTGAATCGTATATACGAATTACTCCATCAAAGCATCCAGTGGCAATTTTGTTCTCCATCCAATCGCAAGACTTGATGTATTTAGGATGATTCCAGGAGTGCAACTTATGCCCGTTAACTGCATCCCAAACCATGGCGGAGTAATCACCACTACCAGTGACTAGACGTGTAGCAGGATTATTGAATGCAGAACAAAACACTGCACCTTTGTGTCCCTCAAACGTCCCTACCCAGTCACCAGTTTGCCCATTACGAAGCATAGGCTTTGCATCATGGCATGAAGTTACAAACCAAAAAGTACCATTGATGATTTCACTGTAATTTATGTGACAGACAGGACGTGTATGGCCAGAACAAAGCTTTACTTTTGTAATATCGGACATATTATTATTATTGTTGCTCTCAGCTGCAGCAGGTGCGGCCGCAGGTCTGCTTGTCGGTGCAGTGTACTTTGTGCTCATGACTGAAAACACCACAGTTGAGGTAAAGTTTAAATGATGAACTAGTTTTGACAGAAATACTTGCTTCAACAAAAACACTAGTAGAGGATACGCAATACATACTTTCTTAAAATTTTGGGATACCTAAATACAGGTCAATAGTCAACTTACAACAAGTGAGCCCACTCACAGGTCCATATTTTGTATGGATCTCAGAGTTATTAATACAATTAAAAAGTTAGAAATACTTAGAATATTCGATAAAATATCATTTCAAAGTATTATGTCACCTTTTCTCTCAAGAGTAGATAAATAGGGAAATATTTGCATCATTGAAAACATTAAAAGTACGATTACATGATGCCTTTTATCTACACACATTACTCATATCTTCATTAATATTCTATCAAATAGTTATTTTTCCACAATTCAGATAGATCTTTATCTGAGGATGTTATTTGCTTTATGGCTTACTCTCGTGTACGTTGGCGAGGGACAGCACGAAGAACATCATCAACACGCAAAATCATTTCAGCTGCCTCAGATGCATATGCAACAACAGAGCTTTTTACCTTGTAGGATTCAGTAATGCCAAGCTCTTTAACGTCAGCAATATCGCCCTTTATGACATCGATTCCGTAAGTGCGATCACCTTTATAGTGAGCAGCCTGCAGACGTGTCACCAGATCATTGCTGTCAAGGCCGGCGTTGTCTGCAATAATTGAGGGAATGGTTCGAAGAGCAGTGGCAAATGCCAGCATTGCCAATTGTTTCTTCCCAGGAACCAATTTTGCCTTGTCCTCAACTGACTGTGCCATTAAAAACTCAGAACAACCCGCACCGAGGACAGTACGCGTCTCCTTAATAGTCTCAGAAATTACGCATAGAGCATCATGAATGGATCTCTCAGCCTCGTCCAAGATGTGACGCGACGTACCTCGAAGAACAATAGTACACGCCTCACCCTTCGGTAGGCCAGAAAAACGGATCACTGTCCCCTCACCAATCATGAATTCGTCAATGCGCTGAGCAAAACCATATTGAACGTTAGCTGTTTCGTCAAAAGTTGAAACAACATCAGCACCAAGAGCCTTCGCAAGGCGCTCAATTCCATCAAAGTCTGCATGCTCAATGGCCATGATCCCATGCTGTGCAAAAATTTCTTCCGGATAGTTGTAAATAAGCTGACGGTTTATAAAGCAATTAATGTCGTGTTTTATGATCTTCATGCACTTATCCTTCATTTTAGCTTTCTCTGAAGCTTCAACCTCGGCCAGCTCAGCAACGCTTTCAACAGCAACCTTTGCGCCAAATATTTTGATCTTATCTGTATCCATGGGAGTATTAGCGACAAGAATTTTGGCGTTCTCAAGATAGCGAGGCTGTCCAATTCCGATTTTTTTGTCCAAAAGAAATCCAGGCTCCAAATAGCTGTCACGCAACGTACCACCAAGTTTTTTCATAATATTAATCATCTCAAGGTTACCACTCCCCTTAAGGCGAAGAACAGCATCGACGCAAAGCTTGGCAAAATGCTCCGATTCCACAGTAATAATTTTAGAGCTTAGCGTAGTCTTAGCAATTCGAATAAGATCTTCATAAAAAAGTTCTTTATTGTTACCATGGTCCTCCGTGGAAGCAACGAGAGCTTCTTGGGCGGCTATGCTTGCCATGCGATAACCATCAATAATTGTTTGTGGATGAATAGATTGATCTAGAAGTTTCTCAGCGTTACGAAGGAGCTCACCTGCTAAAACAGTAACACTAGTAGTTCCATCACCGACCTCATCGTCTTGGGTATTACTCATATCAATTAGAATCTTTGCAGCTGGATTGTCCATAATCAACGACTTGAGAATAGTAGCACCATCATTAGTTACCCTAACACTTTGAGTTCGATCCATTCCTTGTAGAATTTTGTCCATCCCCTTAGGTCCCAAAGTTGTTTTGACAATATCTGCCACGGAAATAGCACCCATAATGTTCATCAAGCGTGCCCGCTCGCCTTTTTCCTCAGAGGCACCATCTCGTAAAACTTGGGAAGCTTGATTAGAAAAGAACATGATTAATAAGAAAAAAAGTAAGCTTCACTAAGAGAAAAGAAGAAAAAAAATATAAAGAGAAAAAATGATGTTTATTTTATGAGTCACACATTTTACCCATTAAGCTATTTCTTCTTTAAGATCTTTTCTATATTAAGCCAACAAAAAATAAATTTCACTAAATAAAATCATGCAAATCATCTTAATTTATAGGCATAAGCACAGATGAGAATAATCAGTTCACTCTAAATGTAAAATAATATTTGCCTTATTTATTTCAAAATTTTCACTCACCGTTTCTTCAATTAAGTATTGAAGAGAATGCTTGACAGAAGAGTAGTTTTCGGTATTCTTTAATTTAGCATCGACAAGGCAAACTAACAATCCATGAGGAGACGTGGAATGAATCCACAATTTAGGTAAAGATACATCAGATAAAAGAGAAGTTGCATAAATCCTTTGTCGTAGCACTTCACAAAAGTTTTGATGCGAATCATGACCTGACAATAATAATATTTTTCCGGTGTCTATAAGCAACGGAATAGCAGAAATAAAAATAAATATTGCACTAAATATACTGCAAATAGGGTCTGCTATCCAAATATTAAATAAATGAACGAAAATACTTGAAGCAATAACGCTGACACTACCGAGTAAATCTGCCAAAATATGCAAAAATACACTTCGCATATTGCAGTCCACTTGTTTACTACAACAAGAGTCCGAGTCGTGCGAGTGTGAATGCGCATGGAAATCATGGAAAAAAATAACACCGATTATGTTAACAAGGAGTCCGATTATTGAAAAAGAAAACATGTGTGATGCGTTGATTTCTGGAGGATCAATAAAACGTTGAATAGATTCGATCATTACATGAGTTGAAATAAGTAAAAGTAGGATACCATTTATAAATCCTCCCAAAACTTCATACCGTGAATACCCAAACGAATGTGTTTTCGCATCGGGTGGCCATGATGAGGCATAAGCTGTAAGAAATCCTACAGCAATAGACATAGAATCAATCAACATATGAAAAGCATCCGAAATTAGTCCTAACGAGTTAACAGATGTACCATAAGCCAGTTCAAGAAACATGACCAGTATTGTCAGTAGGAAAAAAAGAAAAATTTTTTGCTTCCTTTTGTCTTCTCGGAGCTCATTAAAAAGTTTATTATTTAAACTATATTTATTCAATATAGATTTTGCATTTTCAAATAAAGGTAATTCCTTTCTCCAGATTATATACATTAATATATTGCTTGGGATCATCAATAACATTCCGTAATTTTGATAAATTGTAAATTCGTTGAACACGAATCCTCCAAAAAATAAATATAATGATACACAAATGGAGTGTTGGCTCACTGCAAGAGTAAGTCACTTAGCAAGTTGATGCATCAATGCTATTAAGGATCCCAGGAAAACAAATATCAATGAAAATAAGGATAATTGCTTTTCTGAGGCAGACTCAAGATAAGAACGCGTAAGCCCGATGCATCCTAGAAGGGCAACTCCTACAATAAAAACGCATCCTTACTTTAAGGACGTGTTATAGCTAGTTTGATGTAGAACACACGCTCCCATAAAGTTAAGAATAATGCCCTTTAATTTTAGAAGATTCTCTCCAAAGGCTAAAGCGCCAGATGTGCAGGGTCTATATAATAGGAAACTCGTAATGAGAAGGGAAATATCGAGAAAAGGCGATGATAGTGTTTTCCAGGCTGAAAGAATAAACAATGAAGTCAGTAATATAACACTGAATCCTACAAGATCTAATATTTCAAGGCTTAGAGTGAGGGCCCCCAAGGCAAAAATCCTCAGAAGTGCATGGAGCAAAAAGTTATCCTCTCCTCCTTTCGCTGCTTTAAAAGTAGGGTTCGTAGCGGTTCCATATCCAAAAAGGCATATAGAAGAGATCCAAAGCGGGTATAATTTGCCATATTCTACAAATGTTTGCAAAGAGAACGCAAATAGAAAGTTGCTTTGATTATTAGAAAATGTATGCCCTTTGTAGGCATAAAAAAATGTGAAAAGGTGGGGTTATTATAATAAAACGTTTAACTATTTCTAATGAGAATAATTACTGAACCAATGGAGAAAGGCGGTAGCCCTGAAAGTAAATCACTTCTATGACGAGGCAAAAAGGCACCACGCGATAAAAGAGGCTTATTAGTGTGTCATACTGTCAAAATACTTGCATAACGACAAATAGACTTGGTAAAGGCCAGACTACACCATAACTCAACTACAAAGGCAGGAATCCTATTAGGCCCTATGTGTGCGACTATCTAAACTTTACACCTCACCCAGATGACCGTGAGAAATCCGATCCCGCAAAAATTAATTGTGCACGCACTTCAGTGCAGCCCCCTTACCAGCGTAGCTGGTTAAGCCCCCTACAAGCCTTTTAGTCATAGCGCAATGAACAGTTTGGTATAACCCTTGTACTTGGGCAGGGGATCCGTGGGATAGTGTGAGCTCCCCGGTTCCTTCCCCCCGCTTTGGTGGCGTGGGGGCTTGAGTTGCCCCCTCCCCACCCCACGGGAAAACCTACCCAACTATAAAATTGAGAGTAAAACGTATGCACCACCGGGGGGCGTTACATGGCTGTGAATTCATCTTATTCAAGCCGAGAAGATGTGAGTGATTTATTATTGATTTATTCGTTCAACACCTGTGAGATTTTCGTGTGCTCAGCCTAATTTCTGCTTTTGTTGTTTCACTATTTTACTGTTCATTAGTATAAGAACAAGGCCTAATGTCTCTTTTTGATCTTGACACAGAGATTCCGTTTGATGACTATAAGCGAACTATTTATTACCACGCTTACTCATACACTCATACAATGCGAGATCCGGCACAAATTTTTCGCATCTCAAAACTTGTTTTTGACCGTGCAAAACAAGAGCTCCTCAATGGAAAGTGTGATATGGCTCTGTATTTTTCACTTAGGACTATGGCACTACTTGACCATGAAAAAACCTCCATTGATGTTCGAAAACACGATAAAAACGCACGATTATTTATTAAGGAGGTGATGAACTTCGTCGAAAATATTTTAAGCAGTAGAGATTTGTTTCATCAATATGAATCAATGATCAAAAAAATTAGGGATAATGAGCCGGCACGGAAAAAAATGATTGCATTGCAAATGGAAAACGATGCAAGCTTGGAAGATGAAAAAAATATGCATATCTTGAAGAGAGATAACCTTCTAAATACAGAAGGTGAGAAGCTTGATGCGTTTCGAAATAAATTATTCGGCGAGCAAACGCTAACAAATACCTCACAACCGCTGGCAAAAAATCAGGATTTGACTACTACCTTGAAAAATCTATCTGCCGTGCCAACGCAGAGCAGTATTTTGGACAACAGTAGCATCCATGAAATGAAATACCCACTGACCACCGGATTCACTGGAACTGGCATCCTTCCCTCAGATAGAAAGTCAGTTTTGTGCAGATGGCCTTTCAACTCGTCTAAACATTCTTCTGCTCAGAGACGTGGAATTGTTAATATTGGAAATTCGTGTTACATGAATAGCGTTCTGCAGCTTATCAATTCAACACCGTTGGCGAAGTTCTTTTTAGAAGACGATTACATGATGTTGTTTTCTCAAAGGGATAACAAGATTATCAGAGTAGTTAATTCCTTTGTATTTATAATACGAGAACTTTATCATACTGAGACACCTTTTTCCATTAGTGCATCAACTTTAAAAAGTGCTATTGGATTGGTTTGCGAAACTTTCGATAACAGTATGCAACAAGATGCTAATGAATTTCTTCGCATACTTCTCGATCTTCTGCACTCTGGCTTGAATGAAAATGCCGATAAAATTGTGAAATTCTCAGAAATTGATAACTGTAGTGGTAGCGACGAAGAATTATCACGAAAGTATTGGTGGCAATACGCACAGAAGAACTCTTCGATTATAACTAAGCTTTGCGCTTTCCAGGAAAAAAGTTCTATTACATGCCCTTTATGTCAGATGTCAAGCCGTTCATTTCAAACAACTTTTGGTGTAGAATTGCCGATTTCGTGTGGAGACAACGTATCGCTGGAAGATTGTCTTGGTGTTTATTGTGCAAAAGAGTTTCTATCTAATGATTCTCTTTATTCGTGCCCAAAATGCAAGCAAAAAGTAAATGCTGCTAAGCAACTTTCGTTTTTCTCAACTCCTGAAATTTTATTTATTACACTAAAAAGATTCCAGAAATACGGGGATTTTTCTAATCTTTCAAAGATTAATTCAGAGGTTTTCTTTCAACGCAGCCTTGATCTTGCCCCATTTATGTCGTCAAATTTTCCTAAGACAAAGTTTTCATTAGTTGGTATTATTAATCATCAAGGAAATATGCATGGCGGTCATTACACCGCTGATGCTCTTGGAAATGACAATATTTGGTTTAACTTTAGTGATGAAAGGGTTACTGTTGCCGATGCTCCGGACTTTCGACAGGCATATATTCTTTGCTACTTACGAGATTAAGAGAAATACTTGCTTTTTTTTTGCAGGAAAAAATAAATGATGGGTACTACTTCTGATTGTGTTTTTCTTCATTTTAAAAAATGAAAATGCCTTTTGATCGGTCTTCATTTTTTTCAATCTGAGTCTCCAAGGTGATTTATCGAAGGGAAAGGAAATGAACACGATTGTGTTGTGATATTATATATTACTACTAAATGATTTGATTAGGAGTGTATTTATTATTTTAATCATTTTATTTGCTTGTTGGTATTCGATCACTGGAAATCGCGTTCACATGCTGCAGTGTAGTATGTCAGATTTATTTGAAATAAACTGAACATTATGTAGGTCACTAAAGTCTTTTTCAGGTTCTGTAAATCGCTTTCTAGGTATATGATTCATTTTATTCTACTTCTCTGATATTTTAAATAACCCCAAGACTTTCTTCATCCGAAAAAAAATGAGAAAGTTTATATCTGCAAGTGATGAAATAATGATAACCACTCCTAAGAGCTAGATTTATCCTAATAAAAATTCGTAGTACCTGGAATGAATTCCCATTGTCTAGAAGAGAGATTTTATTTCAAAAAAATCAGGTAGAGTTGGACGTGTTTCCCTAATTATCGAACATCCATTTTTTATATCTTTGCATATCGTATTGAATGGTATAGATGTGCAATGAATACCAATTAATGCTCACAAAATACTATTTGTGTTTTCCTACAAGGATGAGTCTATATGTGAATAAATACCTTTTATATTGCTTGCTTTATCTGTTAGAAATTTGTTTGCTTCTTGTATTTCGCTTATTTATTAGGCTTTCCTTGATTAAGCGTAATATTGCTTAACTTGAATCGATCATTTTGACACTTACACCTCCTTTTTAGTTTATAATACATATGAATTTACTAGGATTCTTGTTGCTTATCGGGTATAATCAAAACGAAGAATAACAATATTAAAAGTAGGGATGCTACAACATTCGTATGTAGCAAGGTCTAGTGCATCCTTTATTAATGTTGTGGCAAAAATATCTAATCAAAAGTCAGCTGTATCTCTGCGGGAGATGCTTGAACGACCACAACTTAAAGTTCAGTCGCTTTCACTTGTACCACCACCTCGTTGGGCTGCCGAACTCTCTCGGAAAATTAAAACTGTATTCCCAGAGCTTCACCTGACCCATCAAACGCGTCAGCTTCAGGCTTTTATTCATCCTAGCTTTATAACACACAAAATAGGATCCACTACAATGCGCCAACTTGCTCCAATGGGAGACTCTATACTTCTCCATGTAGTGTGTAGATGGGTTTTCCGGACATTTGAAGATTTAAAACGAGAGGAAGTTTCATCGTTAATTGCGGTTTTAGTTAGCGATGCGTCTCTTTCTCGTATATTCAGAGATGTTTGGAGACTGGAAAACATGGTGCTGACTGACGCATCCGCTGATTTGTTTTCTCGTGAGAAATTGAGGTCGGCAAAGGGTTTAATGAAGTGGTTGGCTATAGGTGAGAAAAGTGGGATACCTGATCCGTTTCTAGCCGAATCCTTAAAGGCATTTGTTGCAGTTGTATATTTAGAGAAGGGGATGGATTCTGCTGTTTCATTTTGTTACAACCATATTCTCACATTTCTGGAATAATTGTTGAGATAGATACCTATATCTAACTTTCAGCAAATTCTTTACTGCACATATTCTGTATTTCTTTAAATATTTTATGTTTTTGTTCTTGTCTGCATATATATGATCACCTTTCTATTTATTTGGAAAATAAATTCATAGTGACTAACGACCTCAAGTTTGTGGAAGGTAGTGTGTACACTTATACTCCAATGGAGCATGGCAAAGATGTTGAAATAAGCGAGAGTTCTGTACAAGTTCCTCTTTTTGCTTATGAGGAAGAACTCCCGGTTGCAAAAACTCGTGAGGAAATAATGGCAGATAAACTGAGAAAGCTGCGATGCTTCTCCTTTCCTATTCCAGAAACACCTGACTGTGACGCGAGTGGGGCTCTCGTGTACATAGACACTTATAAGAAATTTCAAGACCAAACTGACAAAAACGTTGACTATTCAGACTATCCTATGATTGGGGTGCCAAGTGATCTACGGAATTGTAACGATGTTCTGAATTTATCATATGCTGGACTTGGTACTCAGGGGAGCTTTGCGCTGGCTGCTGCACTTAGAGTTAATAGTTCCATCCAAACACTAATATTATCAAACAACTATATCACGACTTCAGGTGCTATGGCTATCATCGACGCTATCATCGAGTCACGAAACGTGACCGAGGTGAACCTTTCTTCAAATCGTATAGGGGCTCCAGAAACATACCCGGGCGTTAACGCTTCGTTGCGTGGAGGAGATGTAATTAATAAACTTATTTCTTCTGGATCCATTATTACGAAGTTATCGCTCAGGGACAACTACATATCTGACACAGACCTTGAAATCTTTTCCGAAACGCTCGCCGAAAACATAACGTTACAGCATTTAGATCTAAGCTACAACAAACTGGGGCACCTTGGCGCAATTGAACTTGCCAAAGTGCTTTCTCGCAACGCTGACTTGCGTGAGATCAATTTGGAACGGAATACCTTCGGTGCTGCTGGATGTCAGATTCTTCTGGCACAAGGTTTCCTATTCAACAACACTATCAAGTCCTTTAATCTAAGCGCATGTGGTTTAGATGATGCATGTGCAAGTCTTGTATCAAGAATCATAAGTGAGAATGCTACTGAAGAAATTATCATAGCCAACAACCGAATTAGCGCGACTGGGGCAGATTCCATTACCAAGGGCATCGTTGCCACCACGTCGCTTGCAACACTGGTGTTGGATGGTAACTATCTCGGTGATGATGGTTGTTCCAAGCTCGTGAACGTCGCCACGAGCGGTGTGCTCAAAACATTGAACTTGCTGAGTTTGCAGCATTGTGGTTGCTCCGCCGCCACGGAAGCACGTAGTCAAAAAGTCTCTGCGTCGAATGGTTCTTGCATTCGTGTGTCTGAGGGCTTTAGTGTCATCAATACTTTGTAAATTATGATAGTTTAGATGTATAAAGAAGGTTATTATGCAGAATATATGTATAATGATTTGAGTTTAGTCTAAGTGGGAACAAGATGTACACTGTCATTTTCTTTGGGGCAGGAATCCTTTTTTACTTCCATTGTTGTTAACCTTGTTGGAAATCACTAGTTTAGATTCTGCATGTAGTTTTATTGATATATGGACAAGCTTCAAAGTGCGATCAATAGATTGTCTGCATTTGGCCTCGCAGATGAGCTGGAGGCTCGAAAGGTCGCTACAGAGCTCGAACTTGTGTCGCAGCATCTTGCTGCCCATCCACTTGGATTTTCTGAAGAACTTATGTGCCAATGTATCGATCTAGTTGAAGAACTTCCTAGGGCTTCCCTTGCTACGAGAGCATTAGTAATGCTTCTAGCCAATGCATGCCTCATCGATGAGAATCAATCCCTTGCTTCTCGGTTTGGTCTTCCCTCCTTGTGTGTGGTAGTGCTTCAATCTCAAGCACAGTTATCGAATGAAACTCTCTTTTATATGTTTGATCTCATGAGTACCCTTTCCTCAAGAGAAGGAAGTGCTAGGAAGTGTCTTCGCCCTGGGATTCCATATGTTTTGGAAGCTATGAAGCAGCGAATGAAATCACTAGATGTTTTGTTCGGCGGTTGCTTTTTATTAAGCATCATGACAATGCTAGATGAATCAAATTGCGAGCTTACAGTCGAACGTGGCGGAATGCAGGTCATGGTTAATTCCTATCGACATGCTTTGGAGCGTTTATCAGAATTGACTTTAAAGCAAAGAAATACAGCAGGATTGGGAAAATCAGAAATGAAAAGCATCTTAGCCCATGTTGAGAAGGAAAGGCATACTGAAAATGAGCATCTGTGTAAAGGTATTCTTCGATGGAGCAAAAACACTCTTCGAAATTTGTGTCACGTTGATAGTCCGATAATTGATGATACATTAGCGACCTTAGATTATGGACGATACGGATCGAGTATCGAAATGGATGATCTAAAGTGGACTCTCGTGTTCGAGCGCAAGAATAGGAGAAGCTCAATTAAGCCGTAAGTGTGCAATCATGTGTGTGCTAGCTTACTGTGTTTAGTCTAGAAGTAGATCACTATTCACAAATTAGAATTGTCTGTCTGAAAAGCTCATATTTATATTTTGGTATGCAAATTACTTGTATATGTTTATATAGCAGTTGCTATTGAACTAATTAGCCCTATTGATGTCCAGATTAACTGTAATCTTAATTAAATACAACAACTCTTGGATAATGGTTGAAGTTGTTTTTCTATATCTAACTATTTGTGGTTAAAACACTTTCAGTAAAACAGCGCAATTCAAGGAATAGATCAAAATTGAAAATAAAATTTGGACCGAGGAAAGATGAGCAGCCCAAACCAACAGAAAACTATAGAAACCGTACTTCTTCGCCTCAACATGCCCGAGGTAATCCCAAAGTTTAAGGAGATGAATGTCAATCGTATTGTGTCTCTGAGGAAGCTGACCGAAGAACAGCTCCGTCAAGTCATACCAGACGATGCAATGCGCCAAAAGCTAATGGAGGCTATCAACTGCCGTGGTAACCTCCAACCGCGCCGTGCGGCGGCCTCCGAACAGCCCTATCCACCACGAATGACTGATGTTAACCCTATCGGGGTGGGGAACTACAACGACTATCGAGGAAGCATCGTTCGTGGTCGCGGCCGCGGCGGGGGCGGCGCTCGTGCCCGTGGAAATGGAAATGGGGGCCCGAATGCAGAAGAAGGAATGCGACCTTGCCGGCATTACTTTAGCCAGGAGGGATGCAGGTATGCTGAAAACTGCCGCTATAGCCACGATGAGTCCTTGCGCCAGCAGTTTGACGAGAATGATACTGAACAGCGGCACGTAGATGCCAGCCGACCATCTTACGAGTATTGCGAAGAGGTTACCATCCCGACGGAGAACCTTAAATATCTTATTGGTATTAATGGAAATACATTACGGTCTATCAATGAAAAATTCGGAACGTATAACGAGCGTTTCTTAACTGTGGACGATACCCAAGAAACTTTCACACTTAAGTTGTATGGCAACTCGAAGGACGCGCTACAAAAAGCCTCTGAGGCGATGCGGAACGTGGTAGGTGTGAAAAGCAAAGAGGAGCGGAAGATTCGTTCCGATTACGTTATTAATGAACTGGATATTAACACACGCGCCGTTAAGGTTCTGGCTGCGTGCAACATTTTGAACAAGGGTACCCCTCGTCACCTCTCAGAGAAGATTATAAGAAACGTTGTATCGACGGTTCGCTTTGTGCGCCCTCAGCGTCTGCTACACTTTTTCGTTTCTAGTACTAATGGTGATAGGGAGAAGCTTGAAGTTGTGAGTAAGATTATTTCTCAGCTCCAAGGAGTCCAAGCCATTGTGTTTTGCGAACAAAAGCGCGTGGAAGCGTTCGCCAATGTGGGCGGTGTTCAGCGCCTGACGAAGCATTTTAATGGCGTGAAGCCCAAGTTTCTGTATCGTAGCATGACGAAGGAAATGCGAATGAAGAATCTGGAAGAGTTTAAGAATGGTGTTGAAAATGAATTTGGTTTGAAGGAGCGGCTTCTTGTGACCAACGAGGACTACGCCAAACTTGCACGCAAGACGGTTATTCCATATGTGAACCTTGTCATTAACCTTAACGTCCCGCGCGATGAATTCTATGTGATACAATCATTGGTAGCCGGCCGCCAAGGCACTGTGGGGATATCCGTCCAGTTCGTCAGCCAACAGGATGCAGCCAAATTCAATGAAGTAAGAAAGTTGGTACACTTTGAGGAATTCACTAACGAGGAGGATTTGCGTGATGCTGTACTGCAGCTTTCCTATGATACCAAAGACCATCCCCTGACGCCCCCAGATGCCGAGCCACCAGCTGACTGGCGTGAACACTTGAATGATCCGAAGCCCAAGGGTTCTCAATTTAATCGACATTAATGGGAATAAAGAAACCTATAGATAAGGTAGTTCGACAGAATCAAGGAATTAATGCTTTTATTATTATTGTTTTTAACACAAATTATTTAGGGAAAGATCGCGTCGGAAAGGTGTTTTTTTGTGTGTGGAATAGGTGGAATGATAATCTACTGCGTATTTATTATTTAGCTTCTGCATTTTGATTCAGTCAAGTCTGTTTTGTGTCCGACAACTTTCTTCATGTGGAGACGAAAAGATAAAGAATGCAACATCCATATGTATAACCTAAATTATGCTAACTATTACTAAGGATTGAAATATAGAAATGCTTCACTCTGTCGATTTATTACTACTTCTGGACCCAGAACTTATTTATAAAGGTTTAAATGGGCATGGAAATTGCCACGAAATATCAACCACAGACTAGTACCAAAAGAAGGTGTTACAGGGAGAAAATTTGAGTTTTAGCAATGCTTTCGCTCATTATAATGAGAAAACAAGGCTTAAAAGGGAATACATGAGGTTCCTACGGGATTCTTCGAGTATTTTCATCTGTTCCCGAAGCTTTGCCATACTGTGCATGTTGTTTTGGTCCTCCTTTTTTTGTCATGTCCCATACTTGTTGTCGCTTTCTATATATATTTTAACAGGGCTTATTAAGTTGTTCACCTTCTTTACTTTTGTAACTTTCTCATTCCTGAAAGGGGGGACTTCAGCCACTTAATTTTTGTCCTTTTCAACAAGCTGTTCTTTTTATAAATTATCCACTTTTGTTTTTTATTTTGGCATTGAGTTTCTAATCTAGGAAACACATACGCACATTAGCACCCACACTCACATCCACACGGAGAAAGACATAAAGGCAATAAAGTTTATCTGGACTCATTTTCATACGCCACACGATGACAACCGTTCAGAAAACAGTAAATATTGAGCTCTTGTTGAAAGACTTGGTCCGTAGTGCTATGGCAAGGGCATTTCCTCAACTCTCTCCTTCTTTGCCTGATCCACTTATCACTACGGGTAAGATGACTGACTATCAATGCAACAATGCTATGGGTCTCTCAAAGCAACTTGTTCAGGCGAATCCACCCATCAAAATGAGTCCGCAAGCAGTTGGTGAAGAAATTAAGAATTATTTACAGGAAAACGATCTTATCGAGAAGTTTGAGCCAACAAACAAAGGATTTATCAATGTTACTATTCGTGACGACTGGCTCGCGAACATGGCCCACGAAGTGTTGCTTAGTGGAATCAACCCCCCAACAGTACCCACGCAAAGAGTGTTGGTGGACTTTTCTTCTCCTAATGTTGCCAAAGAAATGCATGTCGGTCACTTGCGGTCTACCATTATTGGAGAATGTCTGTGCCGTCTCTTTGAGTTCTGCGATTTCGAGGTCCATCGAATCAACCATGTTGGCGACTGGGGAACGGCTTTCGGCATGCTTATTTTATACCTGAAGCGCAACTACCCCAATTTCGTCACGAATCCACCGGATATATCGGACCTTACGGATTTGTATCGCGCCTCCAAGGTATGCTTTGATGAAGACCCGGAGTTCAAGGAACAAGCCCGCTTGGAAGTGGTGAAGCTGCAGGCTATGGAGGAGGATTCCCTAAAGGCTTGGAAGCTAATTTGCGATGTGTCGCGCAGTGAGTTCAGCAAAGTTTACGAGCGCCTTGGTGTGAGAATTAAGGAACGTGGCGAAAGTTTCTATAATGATTTGATTCCAGTGGTGCTAAAGTTGTGTGAAGAGGCTGGTCTTATCGAGGAGAGCGATGGCGCAAAGTTGATCATCAGTAAAGTCAAAAAAAACTTGAACGAATTGGACTCCAAGGATATGACGAGGCTGGCTGCTCAACATCTTGCGCAACTGAGTAAGGATGGGCAGAAACATTACCATCCAAATTTACTCTTGGCAATGAAGAAATGCGGAATTCTCAGTGGGGAGCCAGGGCAGGAGGTCGTGATACTCTCAAAGAAGGAACAAAAACCGTGGAGTACGTTTGATATTCGAAAGGATTTGGATAAGCTGATGACTAAGCTTGAACCTCTATACAAGGGAAACTTAGACCCCCTCTTTCGTGAAGTCTTTGAGGAGAAGAATCTTATTGACGATGATGTCATCGCCGTGCCTCGCTTCTCCTTTCCTCTCATGGTCATGAAGAGCGATGGTGGCTACACTTATGATACAACTGATTTGGCCTGCATTTATCATCGATTTGTGATGGAGAAATGCGATCGTGTTATTTATTGCACTGACGTTGGACAATACGAGCACTTTCTCATGGTTATTCAAGCAGGCAAGGATATGAACTGGTTAGGCAATTCCACCTGGGACCACGCTGGGTTTGGCCTTGTCACCGGTGTGGATGGGAAGAAAATTAAAACTCGCTCCGGTGAGACGGCGAAACTCAAGGATTTGTTAGATGAAGCAGTGGCGCGTTCACTTTCGATTCTGAATGAGCGAGAGATGAGTGACCGAGCTCAGGGACACACTAAAGAAGAAGCAGAAAGGCTTTCCAATATTATTGGGATTGGTGCCGTCAAGTACTTTGATCTGAAACAAACCAGAGTGAACGATTATGCGTTTAATTTTGAAAAGATGCTAGACATGTCTGGTAATACTGCTGTATATTTGCTTTATCAATACGCTCGTATTTGCTCTATAAAGCGCAAGGCGGACGTCGATATCGAGAAGCTGAAGCAAACAACGAAGATCTCCATAACTACCCGTAGTGAAAGACAGTTGGCACTTCAAATTTTTCGTTTTCAGTCAGTCATTCTCAAGACGCTTGAGGATTTGTATCCACATCACCTTACAGATTTTGCGTCTGAACTAATGTCGTGTTTTTCAGATTTCTTCACAAATTGTCGTGTTATTAACGATCCATTACAGGATAGTCGTTTGTGTCTCATCGAACTTACCCGTGAGACTCTTAAGAAGACGCTAGACATTTTAAACATTGAGGTGGCGGAAAAAATTTAACATACGTTTAAGCTAGTTTTATTTACCTATCTCCTGAAAAAATACTATTAATAACTTTAAATTCTTAGTGAATATTAGAGAATAGTTGTGCATAATGTAGCGGGTACAAGTTAAGTTTTCCGCCTGTATCTTGTCAACTTTGCATCCCTTCCACCTCTTTCTGGATGTAGATAACCTTGCTATTTCATGTTAACGCTTTGTTTCGCGACTTTACTCACATCGTTTGCAATCTTACTTTGATTCAATCCCATAATAATGTCACTAATGCGCAGATGCAACACACTTCAGTAGACTGCGATTATTTGTCGTACATACTGATCAGCTGAATCGCAGATTGTCTCTGCCCGCAAAGAGAAAAATGAAACAGAATTGGTACAAACCACATCCATATGGAGTGTATCCACGCGGTAATGCAACTAATTCCGACCAAATTATGAATCGCTTTGGGACCCTATCTAGATTATTTCAGATCGGTTCATCCAATGAGCAGGACGATACAGAGCTTCCTTTTCTGGAGTTGATGCAACTTTTGATGTCCTTTATCGACGTTGAGGGATTGTGCCGCCTCTCGCGCGCCTGCACTGGCTGGTACGTGATGGTGCACTGCAGCGATGCATTCAAGACAGCTTACACAAGCCTCTTTTCAAACTATCTGTGTTATCGCGGCAGTTGGAAAGAAACTGCTATTCGTGGATATCTACGCCACAATCGGAAGGATTTAGTGGGAAGGTCTGACGAATCTTTATCCTCACAGCAGCGTCACTTAGTAGACACATGCATGTCTCGGTGTTCTTCCACAGAGAATCTTGTAAAGGCTCACCGTCCAGTCCTATTGAGCCGTTCTTACTTCTGTGATAATTTTTTTCAGGCTTGGATGTGCACTCTATTGCCACCGACGTATCATCTATGTCCTATTGCATCGAGCTCCACAATTGACCAGAGAGTGTCTGGTTGTCAGAATGAGATTCAGGGCGAAGCAGACTCGATTTTTTCGCTTGATTCTTCATCCTCAACACAGCAATATAGCTCCAGATTTAAGCCGGTAGAACGGTGTTCAAAAATTTCTCGAGACGAGTTTCGCCAAAGATTCGAGGAACGGAATGTTCCTGTGGTGATAACGGATATCGCCACAGAGTGGCCATTCTTTAAGATTCTAGCGCGTGACTTTAAGAACCTTTCCGTGCAAAAAAAACTTTTGATGCGGAGTGGGTGTCCCGTGGACATTCCCTTCCGATGCGAGCACACAAACATGAGCCTAGACGATTACGTGCGGTATGCCACCGAGCAGACGGATGAGCGCCCCATCTACCTCTTCGATCCCGAGTTTGGCGACGCGCTCGACTTGGAGCGACTCTACACGGTCCCGGCCCACTTCGCGAGGGATGACTTCTTCTCCACCCTCGGGCCCGAGCGCCGGCCAAAGCACCGCTGGCTAATCGCCGGTCCTGCGCGCGGCGGGAGCAGTTTCCACGTTGACCCCAACTACACGAGCGCGTGGAACGCCAACCTGACAGGGCGCAAGCGTTGGCTCCTCTTCCCTCCAGGCGTCCCCCCGCCAGGGGTCATGCCGAGCCCCGACATGGCCGAGGTCGCGACGCCCCTCTCCCTGACGGAGTGGCTGCTAAACTACTACGACGCAGCCGAGGTGCAGCTGCGGGGCGTCGGCTACGAGTGTATCTGTGAGCCAGGGGAGATCATGTTCATCCCCAGTGGGTGGTGGCACTACGTGATCAATCTGGAGGACTCCGTGGCCATCACACAGAACTACGTGAGTGAGTGCAACTTGCCGTCGGTGATCAAGTTCTTACGTCACATGAAGGGCTCCATCAGTGGGATCGACGAGGACGCGGAGGGGACCTCCGAGGCCGCCATTCAAAAGCGAAGGGAACGTTTTGCGGACGAGTTTGTGGCCGCCATGCACCGATGTCACCCAGCCGTTATTCAACGTGTCGAGGACCAGCTTAATGAGGAGCAAGAGCACCGAAAACGGAAGCGAATGCATCGCGTTGATTTACTTGAGGGCTCATCTGATGGTTTTAAGTTCAACTTCTAATAATTACACGAGATTTCATATCCATTTTGTCCTTTTTTAATGACATTCTGTGAGCGATAGACATTAATATTATGATTAGGCGTCTATATATATATATATGTATATATATATATATATATATATACGAGGCTGAATAA